ATATAATTCACATGAAAAGAATTTTAATCAGCAAAGAGCAGGGTAATATTAATGAAATCCCATGCTGCCTTCCTTAAGAGAACAACAAAAATCTATAATACATGATACTCTGATTGAGTAGTTGGTAGATACTTTTGTTTATGATGTGTTGACTTGTCACTGAAGAGACAGCTAACCAAACTGGGTAAAATGACACTTCTTTAGACTCCAGAAGAACCATCATAAAGCTACCAAGATCCTTACTCTATTTCACAATCATTTCCTCACAATCTCACCCTTTTATTACTTGCTCATCTAGAATATCTGACAATGCAGTGATTAAGTCATAGTCATTGAGGTCAATTAGACATAGGTTTGCATCTTTACTACTTCATACTAGGTGAAGAATTTTAAAAAGGTAGATAACCTCTAGAATCATCCATTTCATTGACTGTAAATTAGACTGTGCGTGTGTGTGTGTGTGTGTGTGTGTGTATAACCTAATTCCTTCCCTTCTTCCTCTGCTATTTACCATCTATCTATCAATCATCATTATTAGTATCATCTAGTATCTATATATTTATCTCTCCATTTATGAGACAAACTACACATAATGAGTAATTTTAAATTGTTACTAACTTCAGGAGATATACTAATATCAATTGATATATTGTGACATTTTAATATTTTATAATATTATGTGGGTGAGGTGTTGAGAAATATGAATAAAAAAATAATGTGTTTAGGGGCCAGGAGAAAGGTGGTAGAGAAGAGTGATTACCAAGAATGGATATCTTTCAAAAGGCTTTACCTAAAAATACAAAGATTTTTGCTTTCTCATGAATAGATCTTCAGATTAGTATCAACTCTCAGACCACAAATTTTCACTCCTCAATACTTCAGTATCTGCAGTCCAGCTAAGTGTTGATATGAATGACTGTAAGAATGAGTGTAAGAAGGGAAATCCTTCAATACAATCTAAATGTGGATATAAAAAATATTAAGAAAAAGAGGACCTTGAGAACATTACGTGAAGTGAAATAAGTCAAACAGAGAAAGCTAAGAACTATATGATTTAACTCATATGTGGAATATAAAACTGAAACTTATGTACACAAACAGCAGTGTGGTGGTTCCCAGAGGGAGGGGTGTGGGAGAAGAAGTGGTTCCTAATATAAGGTGACAGGAGAAGATTTGACTTTGGGTGGTGGGCACATGGTCCTACATACAGATTTTGTAAATTAGTAATCCACATGTTTATGTAGACTAATATCACCCCAATAAAATTTAAAATAATGGTAATAAAAAAAGAGGACTTGAAGATTCCTATGCTGTCATTCAAAATGACAACAGAGTTAAAAATACATGGGTGGGGGACACAATACCTGAGTGAGGTATTGAAAAGGCAATTCAAAGATTAGGGCTACCACACTTCCAACCCACTCATCTGCATCTGTCACCTAACTGACCTAAACCAGCATAAGGACCATGGTTCTATACTAATAATATTATACCCAATACTCATCAGGATTGTGCTTAACACCCACATTGTGCTGTTTTCACGCATCATTTCTTTCAACTCTTACAATAATTCCTTGAGGTAAGTCTCAACACCACCTTCATTTTGCTGGTGGTTAAAATTAGTGAAATTAAGTGACAAAAAGAAACTTCTGAGATGTTCTAAATTAAATTGCAGTGTCCAGAGATGAGACTAATAACATGTTAGTCTGTTCATGGCTGCTGGCCCAGTGACAAACAACTGCTCACAATCCTTCCATTGACTTTGAAATTTCAGATGAATTTCTGAAGATTATTTTAGTTAAGCACCAGCTAACTCCAGGAGCCTCTGCTTGTTGTTCACATGGGGAATTTCTGGCTGCTGCCTCCAACCAATCCACAGGAGCGGACATTTTTTATGCAGACCTGTGCCTATCCCAGAGCTGGCCTCACCTCACCTTCTTCAACCCCTTTGCCTATAGATAATGTAAATCCTGTCAGACTCTCTCTTTCCCCCCAACCCTTACTTGATGTATAAAAACACATACACACATACAAAACTCTGGGACAATGGACACACTGTCTTTTGTATATTGCCATACTACTGAGGGCTTACACTCCATGCCCCAAGACCAGTCTTTGTTTGGCTAGTATTTTGACTCAGTAAAAGCTTACTCACAAAAAGACTGTAAGCCATGAAAGTTAAAGATTTTTTAACATAAGGCAAATGTTTTTCAGGTTGTAAATGGTAGGGCTGATATATAAATACATACACATATTTTTCTCAGAGCCAAAGCTTTTACACATAATGCTATACCTTCTCTTTGGAATTGGCTTTGTTGGTCATGCATGCCTCTAATGCTGAATTTAGTCCACTATATCTACTATTTATTTGTGTACTACTCGACTATGCTACTCTATGAATTAAGTTAGTTACAATAGAAACATCTAAATAAATTGAATGAAATTAAATTTAATTCAATTTCACTAATAGCATTTAAGTTGGGAACCACTCTGATTGAGTCTAAAGCTTGGCTTGGTCCATTAATCCTGTGTAATCTTGAATAAAGTACTCAATCTCTTTGTTGCCAAGTTATTAAATATATAAATGGAAAAAAATAACTAATCAATCTGATTAATCAATGAGAGGATTAAATGAATATATACACAATGTACCTGGCATGTGAGCACTACAGTGTAAGTATAAGCATTAGAAAACTCAAAAAATCTGATTTATGAGACAAATTCATTCTAGGAATGTGAACTTGGACAATTCACTTTATTCATATACAAAATCCAGATGTTGTGAAATTGATCTGAAAAGACCTTTCTTCCCCTTATCTACTCTTTAGATAAGCTATTGCTAAATTGTATTGTCATGCTCATGCTTTAGAAATGGAGAATATTGAAAAACAAATTATTTATTTAATAAAATAATGCTTCTACATTTCAGTTCTATGCAACCATTTTGTTTTGTTTTGTTTTTTGCTGATCAATGTGTTCCTTTACTTCTCTTTGCTATAGAGCATCTCATGAACTCCCAAATCACATCCATGGAGAACAATACAGAGGTGAGAGAATTCATCCTGCTAGGACTAACCAATGCCCCAGAACTGCAGGTCCCCCTCTTTATAATGTTCACCCTCATCTACCTCAACACTGTGATTGGAAACCTGGGGATAATCATGTTGATCCTTCTGGACTCTCGTCTCCACACTCCTATGTACTTTTTCCTCTGTAACCTGTCTCTGGTGGATTTGTGTTACTCCTCAACAATAACTCCAAAGGTGATGGCTGGATTTCTAACAGGAGACAAAGTCATCTCCTACAATGCCTGTGCTACTCAGATGTTCTTTTTTATAGTCTTTGCCACTGTGGAAAATTACCTCTTGGCCTCAATGGCCTATGATCGCTACGCAGCAGTGTGTAAACCCCTACATTACACCACCACCATGACAACAGTTGTGTGTGCTTGTATGGCCACAGGCTGCTATATCCTTGGCTTTCTGAATGCTTCTATTAATGTTGGAGACACATTCTGTCTCTCTTTTTGCTTGTCCAATGTGATCCATCACTTTTTTTGTGATGTTCCAGCAGTCATGATTCTGACTTGCTCTGGTAAACATATCGGTGAACTGATTCTTATTCTTATTTCAAGTTTTAATGTCTTTCTTGCACTTTTTGTTATCTCGATTTCTTATCTCTTTATATTTATTACTATTTCAAAGATGCACTCAAGACAGAGATATCAGAAGGCTTTGTCTACCTGTGCTTCTCACCTTATTACAGTTTCCATATTTTATGGGACTGTCATCTTTATGTACTTACAGCCAAGTTCTAGTCATTCCATGGACACAGGCAGAATTGCATCTGTGTTCTATTCTATGGTCATCCCCATGCTGAACCCTCTGGTCTACAGCCTGAGGAACAAAGAGGTCAAGAGTGCATTCAAGAAGGTGATTGAGAAGGCAAAATTGTCTGCTTCATAATAATGCATAGAATCTACAAAGTTATTTCATCCTTCTTAGATCTTCTCCATGCAATAACTCAAATGTTAATGACCATTTGGGATATTAGAACAAAAGGTTTGTCTGGTGTTATTTATTTCTTTAGTTAAGAAATAGTCCCAATCATTTAAAATGCATCAAAAATAATAATGGTTTTAAATGAAGTTTATTGTGTATGTTTTAATTGGCACATTTTATCCAGAGCTAAATAATTATAACAACTTAATAAATTAATGCTTCAGTCATTACTGAGTGATTTGGGAAGAAAAAGCATATGCATAAATAGCCATATTCAAATAAAAGCAATAAAGAAGGTGAAGGGATTATCTAACAAACATATATGCATACCCCATGGACACGGACAGTAGTTGGTGAAGGCCAAGGGAAAGAAAGACAGGGTGGATGAAGATG